GGTCTCCTATCGGACGCGTCCCCAGGTGGCGGATCGGGGAATGCTCTTACCAGCCACGCCGGAGGGTAGGTGGAAAATAAAATACCATCCGTGGACCAAATGCAGACGCTGGTGGCAGCGTAAAAACGCTAGGGGAAAGTGACCCCCAAAAAGAAACCCACGACGGAAGGTCCGTCAAGATCAACCGTTATGGTGCAGGGGATCGGAGCCCCAGTACCGGCAGCCGGGGGTGGGCAAGCAGGCCCCCGGAGGTCGTCAACCAGCGACTGCAATCTCAGAGACGTGGACCGCTTGGCGTCTCTGAAATACTATACTGCGACAAGAAAAAGCATAGAGCAAGAAGGTTTTAACCCCTTTTCTGGGAAGACAAAACTGCGGAGATCACCTCCAAGTACCCCCACGACAACTGGTGTACCCACAGGAGACAAGGTAACCCTGGTCCAAGCAGAGCCCACGTCGATAGGGGATAGTAATGCAAGGGGCTGGACATCAAATAACTGGGCGATGACTCAAAAGTTGATGGAAGACAATTTGGAGATTATTGCCCGTCTACAGAGTCAATTAATTATCAGCAGCAGCAACATCCTGAAAAACAACCCAGTTATAGTGAAGGACACCTTGGCTAAAACTCTAGAAGAGGTGGATGCTCTAAAGAATAGGTGGGAAAACGTTAAAGAAGACCAAAAGGGGATGTATGAGAAAATAATCCTCCTAGAGAATGACAAAAAGGCCGAGAATACCAAACTCGACAAATAAATATACGAGAAGTCGGTGAAAACGGAACAGTACCAGAAGAAGAAGAGACAAGCTCCATGCCACACTTCAAGACAAGAGGCCAGACAAGAAAGACAAGCAGGATGAAGTCATAGAGCTTGTTACTGAAAAACCAAACCAAAACCCCGATGAGAACTGGCAGAAAGTGGAACACAGGGAGACTGTGAAGAAAAAGGAGAGTTCCACCAAAGAAGGCAATCAAACCCCCAAGGCAAGGATCAAAAGACCCTCCAACCAGGCCATCAAACTGACAGCCAACGAAGGGCAGTCATACGCCGAAATATTAAAAAGAATGAAGGAAGCGGTTGACCCGAAGCAACACAACGCTAATATCCAGACGATCAGGAGAACACGTAAAAATGAACTCCTGATAGTCATGCAGAAAGATTGTGACCCCACTTCCCTAGACGAAGCAATCGCCCGTGCAATAGGAGACAGGGTAAACATCAATACGTTTAACCCAAAAACCTTAATTGAATTAAGGAACATTATTGAGTCTGTTACCCTAAATGAGGTAATAGATGCTGTCACACGCATTACGGGGGACTTTCCCCCGGCGATCTGGAGACTATACAAGGTGTACAGAGGCAGACAGGTAGCGACTGCACTGCTCCCTTCGCGCCAGGCAGAAATTCTACTCAAAGCAGAGAATTTTGAGATTGGCTTGATTACTTCCCACGTTAGGATGAAGCACGTCAGCAAATGCTTTAAATGTCTAGGCTTTGGTCATATCTCCACCTCTTGCAAGGGCCCCGACAGAAGTGAAGTATGCTACAAATGTGGAAAAAAGGGACACTTGGCCAACGACTGCAGAGGGCCAGTTCAATGTATAACCAAGACCAAAACCTAGACGACAATCATAAGCTGGGTAGCTATAAATGCACTTTCCTCACTGCAGAACTAAGGTAAAACAAAGAATGCCTAGGTTCCTTCAAATTAATTTAGCAAAGGAAATACCTCCCAAGATCTTCTTATTCAAACGGCAAGGAAAAGACAGGTGGATGTCTTACTGGTCAGTGAGCAGCACGATATTGACGACATATCCCTCTACCAGGACACGACCAGACGTGCAGGAATTATAATACTTAACTCCAAAATAAGAGTCTAAATTTAATGTTACAAACCAAGGTTTTGTATGGGTAGAAATGGACAGCCTTAGAATATATAGTTGCTATTTCTCCCCAAACGACCGAATAGAGAAATTTAAGAAGTAAATCGATGAACTGGAGGCAAGCATGAACTCTGCCCCAGGTGAAATAAGATTGACTGGAGACTTTAACAGCAAGTCCCCGGAATGGGGGCGAAAGCAGAACTGATCGCAGAGGCGATATTGTTTGCGAATTCCTGGCTAGGAAGGACCTGGTAGTCCTAAACACAGGGAGGTCATGTACATTTAAAAGGGGCGTAGCATCTTCGATAATAGACTTAACAATAGGAACCACAAGGATTACCAAGAATGTCCTGGATTGACAGGTTCTCGACGCTGAAACACTTAGCGATCACCGCTACATTGAATTCTCCACTTTATTCGCTGGAAACAGAGCTAGAAGAAGGAATCAGCCAAACATCGGTCCATCTTGGAACACCAAAAAGCTAAAAGAAGCTGATGCCATAAAATTCCTTGACGAAGCTAAATTACTGGAGTCCATGGGGCGGAGTAATAGGAAAAGTGCAGAGTCCCTCGAAGAGATAGTACGGGAAGCGTGCAAAACAGTTAAAAATACGTGTGACATCTCAATGCCCAGACGTAGGAGCCCAAAGGGGAAAAATCAGGTGTATTGGTGGACAGCGACTATTGCAGACCTTCGTCAAGCATGTGTTAAAGCTAGAAGATTTGCAACAACAGCTAAAACGGACACTCTACTGAGGGAAAATTACAAGACGGCCCTCAAAAGACTAAATCGAAGATTAAAAGAAGCAAAACAAAATGCTGGAAGGCCCTATTAAACGAGGTGAACCACGACCCTTGGGGGCCTATAAGATTGCCTTAAAGCCTATAAGATTGCTTTGGGCAAATTTAAACCTTCAACAACCGCGGGGCTAGAAGACCCCGAATGGGTGAATGCAATTATCCAAGACCTTTTCTTTAGCAGAGAATGCTGGGTAAGGAGCAGACCTCCTGACTACCTCTTCGACGAAGCCAACCGCTTCACGAAGGACGAACTAGTCCAGACGATGAAGAAGACCAAGATTGGAACTGCACCAGGGCTTGATGGAATTCCGAACGCGATCCTGAGGATAGTTGTAAAAGAATACCCAGAATGCCTTTTTTAAAGCCTTTAACCAGTGTCTTGAACAAGGGAAATTCTATAAGGGCTGGAAACATCAGCAGCTAATTCTCATGCGGAAAGGTAACAAGCCAATCGATCGGACGTCATTGTTCAGACCTTTGTGCCTGCTGGATACGATGAGAAAATTACTGGAGGGTTTGCTCCTTCTACGACTAAAGAGACATGTCCAATTTTCAACGAGACAGTTTGGATTTAGAAAGGGGCTCTCGACAATAAACGCGATCTCAGAAGCAGTCCACCATGCAGAAACAGCAAAAAGGAATACGAGTTTTGTGCCTTGGTTGCGATTGACATCAAAAATGCCTTTAGTTCTGCCAGCTGGAAAAACATCATACAAGCCCTAGTAGCTAGGAGGATCGCTGAATATCTTGTAAGGATTCTGGAGGACTACCTCAGTGGGAGGAAAATAATCTACACTAACGGGTATAGGATTGAGGAAGACATGACCTGTGGTGTTCCACAGGGATCAAGATTGGGCCCCTTCCTGTGGAATACCCTATATGACGACCTACTTACTATCGAACTCCCAAAGAACTCCAGACTCATAGGCTACGCCGAGGACACACTGTTTATATGCCATAGTGACAACACGGAACTACTGGAAATGAAGACCAACGAAACACGCAGGGTTAAAAGATGTTTGGACCAAAGAAACCTCCAGATGGCTGTTGACAAGACGGAGGCCGCGTTGATTACAAACCGCAGAGCATTCCCCCCCACCCCGGTGATCCGACTGGGGGAGGAACTTATTGAATGGAAACGGCATATTACATACCTGGGGGTGGAAATTGATTCACGATTGAGCTTCGGACCTCATATGATAAAATCAGCAGGAAAAGCTGCAAAGACTGAATCAAATCTCTCCAGACTAATGCTGAACTCAGGAGGTCCCAGTGAAAGCAAAAGGAGGTTAATTTCTGCCGTAGTGCACTCAAAAATGCTGTATGCCGCCCCAGTGTAGATAGATGCGCTAACTAAAGAGTCCATTAGGCGGAAATTCACACAGATCCAGAGAAGGATGGCTCTAAGGATAATCTCAGGATATTGCACGGTATCCGACAGTGCAGCCTTATTACTGACCAGTGTCCCCCCAGAGGACCTTTTAGCCCAGTAAAGGAGGACAATGTACCTGAGGACGACAGCAGACAAACAACAAACCCTGTCACAAAGACAATTAGATAATATCAAAGAGGAATTGAGAAACCATCTCCTGCACCAGTGGCAAAACCGATGGGACCTGGAGTACAAAGGTAGATGGACACACAGCCTCGTCCCTAACATCAAGGATTGGACCAGCAGGAACCATGGCACAATGGACTTCTACTTGCGCCTTCTCAGGGCATGGGAACTTTCAAGCATATCTATACAGATTTAAAATCTCTAATAGCCCGATATGCGCACTATGTCATGAAGAAGACGACGACGATATGCACACCATATATAATTGCAAAGCTTGGGAGGAAGAAAGAAGAAACTGCTACAGCAAATTGCGACGGGAATTAACGCCTGCAAATACTGCCCATACTATGCTGCAATCCAGAGACAACTGGAAAAGAGTGCGAGACGTCTTGGCTCACGTACTAAAACAGAAAGCCACTACTAAAAGCAGAGAGAGCTAAAATACCATAGCGACCATCTGAAGAGGAAAGCTCACGCTCTCAGCCAATTTTCTGCGTTGAAAATTTCAATATTGTACAATCAATTTTGATGGTTCACTTCAAGAAAATATTGGATAACAGAATAGCGTTGCTGAAAATCTTCAGTACGTTAAAAAAACTGGCGTGGCAGGGTCTTGCGAATCGCGGGGCCAGCAAAGATGAGAATTCCAACTTCATGACATTTTTACAGCCGAAAGCATAAGACGTGGCGGGATTGAAAAACTGGTTGCAAAGAGATGGTTGGTGACTCCATCCCGATTCCCAAATTAAATTCTCGAGTTGATGGCCACTACAGTCTTGCCGAAAATCGTGGAAGACATACGAGAGGATTTTTCCATCTTATTGGATGAAACTTCTGACGTGCATCAGACTGAGCAAGTCTCTGCTGATTGCCTCAGAATCGTTTTCAAAAAATTAACAGCAAATGAATATTTCATTGGATTTTTTTTCAGCGCCTAACACGAAAAAGGAAACTTAATTCGATCTAGTAAACTTCATTTTTGTCCTATACAAGTTGCTAGTTTCAAAACTCAGAGGCCAGTGTTAATTTGGGACATCGATTGTTTCTGTTAAGAAAATTTATTGGAACAGTAAAAGATTTGATAAACTTTGTACAGTACTCGAAGAAACGCATCGCACAGTTTAATGACTTCCACACTGAAGTAGCAAAGGTGAGTGACGAGTTACCTTATCTTACAGCCTATTACCGACCAGGTACATAATATTAAAAAGAAGTAGTACGGATAGGAAGTACCCCTGAAATTTCTAAAGACTGTAAAGAGCAAAATGCACGTAGTTGCAATTTCTCCACGATTATTCGGTTAACGAAGACATTGGCAGTACAGTCTAGACAGAAGCATTGGGATTCTATGATTATTTGGTATCGTTCGAGTGCATCTTCTACCTAACTATGATGATAAAAATTTTAGATCGCGTAGAAATATTATACAAGGAACTCCAGACGTCGAAACCGTGCGTTATAAACTCTTATAAAAAGATAGAAGTAGTGACTGATGTGTTGGGCGCTTCTCGCTTTGAAAAATTTCAGATTTGGCATAAAAGTGTTCAAGCTGTCGTTGAACTTGAACTGAACGAACTTCAAGTTCCTTGTCAGCGAAAAGTTCCTAAACATCTTGATCCATCATGATCCGGGAATACTGCCAATTAACACCTGAAAATTTTTTCAGAAAATCATATTTTAAAGTTTTTTATCAATTACTCATTTCTTTAGATAGTCGGTTTCATAACAAATCTTCGCAATTTTTTAAATTGTTAGAACGATTCGCTCTGGAACGGCTTGCCGACGTCTACACGTCTACGACGTCTATAAAATTGTACAGTTTTATGTAAATGATTTCGAAAGAGAAATATTGCTGAGCGATAGGGATGTTTCTGAAACTTTAGAAGAGGCAAAATTATTTGTCGGAAAACTTGGGGGAAGTCGTAGTTTTTTCTGCAAAAGTCTAAATGGACAAGGGCGTATCCCGAAGTTTCTACGTTTTGTTCGCCTGCTGGTCACGATTTCTGGATCGTCCTGTTCAAATGAACCAAGTTTCTCAACATTGCGTAAAAATCAAAACGTATAAACAACCAACAGTATTGCGATTTTACATGTTTATAGTGACATGAACGACAAAATCGATTTTCGAAATGTTTTAAATAAGTTATATCAAAAAATGCTAAGCGCAGCGCTGTTTTTGCATTGCAAAAATGATCTCTAACTGAAGTTACATAAAATAAATGCAATTACAATTTAATGATAAGCATTACAATTTGAAAGAAAAAATGTTTTGTTTTCTTATACATTTATAGAAGGAATTACATATTTATCATATACATTTTTAGAAGGAGAAGGAGAAGGGACCACCACCCGGGTCAATTAAAACTCGCGCAACTTTTCTTGAACGATGACCTTGAACCCTCTCCCTTGTGCAAGAAACAGTTAAACGCAAAAGCTCGCAGCGGACACTGATGACAACCTTCCAAGCATTGAAACTTCGTTGGCGCGAAACAGAAGCTAGTCAAAGCCAGTTGCTTTCATAATGCAGAACGCCTGTTCAGGTTTATTGTCAATATCGAAAGAAATGGCTGAGTCAGGTCCAGGTCCTTCAAGGGAGTCACCTAAAATTCCCGAAAAAGTTAAGCACAAGATGCAGTTTTGACTTTCATTTCACAGACGTTGGCATTACTTAAAATAATCTAGTGGCCTACTTTGTAACTAATACCCCCACTCCACCCGAAATCGTCAATCCATCGTTCAAGAAAAGTTGCCCGAGTAATACCAGCTCTAACGTATCACCAACCGCTTACTCTATAACTGTTTATATAGAAGAATCCGACTAAGAATGACTCAAAGTGACAGTTCGCTAAACAAATGATCATCACGTGTAATTCAGAGAAATATCCCTCCGCCGTGACAGCTGTTCAGTAAGTTTTCTTGAGCCCTCGCTTCGCTAGTTGCGAGGGGAGTGGGAAGTTGGGTATTTTGACGAAAGGAATTTTGCTTGCTTCCGAATCAAATTGTTTGTTCCTTTTTCGATGCAAAATAGTTTCTATTACACGGGAGCGAACTTTCTGATTATCAGATTTTGTCTAAAACGTTCATTGCTATCATTTATTCTCAATTCAACTAATGCTAGCAAAGGAGTGGGGGTAGGTATAATATTCCGGGGCTCGAGAAAACATGCGCGTATAATATGCCTGTTCGTAAAGTGTTTATGTTTGTATGGTTCCCGTTACGACATCATGGCTTCTCATGGTTCACGACCGTGTATTTATATAAATAATAAATTAATAAAACGCAAAGCATGGAACGTTCTCGATCACAGCTCGTCACCTTGCTGCACAGGAGCAGGAAGCAAGTGCACCAGAATGCATCTGACATTCAAGACTCTGTTTTCAAATAAACACAATACTTACATCACAAAAAGTAAATTCAATGTAATTTATATAAAAAACGAATTTGTACAGAAGGGCAAAGTAGCAATGCACTGCTTAATTTCAATTATTTCTCGTGGGAAACTATATTTTCGTCGGACGAAAACATGACAAAAAGAAGTACCGAAGCCATTTACAAGTTAACCAACGGTAAAAAGAACGAATGAAGGAAGGAGAGTCAAATGGGCTCAGGGGCCACAGAACCCTGAGTTGTGTTGCCAGAATTAGCCGTCAAAACGGTCCATAAAAATGTTTCTATACTGTTCATTTTACATTTTCACATGCAGGCTCCTGTTGACATGATGTCATTCCTGATTGAATGAGTCGCACGTCCACAGTAGATACAAATAAATTTAAGATGATATAGATGTCGATGAACGGGTGAAATCACTCAGTGCCAGGCAGTAAACATTGTGAAGTAGATACATGCAAGGGTTACTTTAGGGATTTTGATGTTTCCATAATCACAAAAAGAAATTAGCCTTTTCCCGCTGGTTGGCATTAACATTGGTCAGTTGATGTTATACATTGCACCATGGAAGAATTGTATTCTGACATGTCGGCATTATTTGTGCGTATTCGAAGGCATATTCGGGCCTTCGAACATATGTGATACATGATCGAAGATTCGGGCATATATGATTCGAACATAAATTATCGAAGATTCGGGCTCTTTTATTATTATATTAAATATTCGATTCGTACTGAATTGACGTTTCAAATAATGCCGCCAGCCATTAGTAACTTCTTTTGTTCATAAATCCAATCATCATGATTCCAAAGAATTTCCGGTGCCGGGACGCTATTCGTTAGTTACCATGGTGACACTGACAGTCATAGATGGATGTAACGTGGTTAGGTTAATTTTCATATTGAATGAGAATGTATTAAAGGTTAATGCTTAGAATTAAACGTTGGTATCTTCACATTTTGGAATGAGTTGGTATAATTTGGGGAAAATAATTCGAGGAAATGCTTTTCGAACAAGTGGACCCAAATTCACTCGTAGTGACATCTGCAGAATATCTTCTGTCAAGATTTATGATGCAATTCGTAAATGCTCGATTTCCAACATGAAACATTTCCAACATTCAAAAATTTCCTGCATGAACAGAGTTCATATTGACCAGTCAAAATGTCCGAAGGATAGCAGTGAAAATTGTAATAATGTATATCAGTACATTATTGACAATACCTGTGAAATTGTGGAAATTCCTTACGGTAATCCAAAATATTTTCAAATTGCAAGTGTCTGTGGAGCGCTTTTTGTGCTGTGTACTGAAAATGACCATCATGGAATGAATGGTATTTTTTTTTTAAATTTATTTATTTATTTTAATGTGGCTGATGTAGATAAACTCGTTGGTATACAATACATAGAAATGTATTTGAGAATAAACATTTTATTATATAAAAACTTATGAAATTATTTATTTGTCAGTATATTTGAAGAAGTAATAAAAAATTTTCTATGAAATGTGCTTTTAATTCTAGAAAAACGTTTATTTAGAGCAGCTAAATATGGAAATGTGCAAGAAATTAAAAGGTAAAACTTTTCCTTAAATTTACTTTCAGATTAGGGAATTCTTTCTGAGAATCTGATAGAAATTATTTTATTCTAGATTACACTCTGAAGGCATGGATGTAAATTTACGCCATCCATTAGGCTGGACAGCTCTTCAGGTGGCTGCAATTAATGGCAAGGTGGAGGCAGTTAAAACTCTCCTTGAATGTGGAGCAGAACCAAACACTGGAGATGATTTTGTCAATGTCTACAGGACTGCAATTGAGAAAGGATTGCATTCCATAGATGGTAACCTTCTCTCTCCGAACTGGACTGAATCACTTAAATTTAAAATATGTATATGTATGACTTATCTTGGTTTAGCAATAACACAAAATAAATTATGTTAATTTTATTTGAGTGACTCTTAGAAGTTGTTATTATGAACACCAGTGTATGGAAAATTTGTACAATATGTGCATCTGAAAAAAAAGTAATAGATGATGACACATGACTTTTGAAGTTAATATAGTTGGCCTGTTATATATTCCATCTGTTATGTGTTTAAAATATGTCTGTCTTGCCTTGTTTTATCCAGTGCTTGTGAAGCGCGAGGATGAATTTAGTGACAGATTAAATAACCGAGCCACTTTCCAAGGATTTACTGCACTTCATTACGCTGTCCTAGCAGATAGCGCTTCAGTAGTACGAACTTTGCTGGAAGCAGGAGCAGATCCCACTATAGAAAATGATGCTGGACATCAGCCAACAGAATATGCACGTGATGGGGAAGTAAAAGACCTCCTGAAACAGTACTCTGTTAAGGTATGTGTAGTAAACTACTTCACATTTTAAACTGTTTATTCATTAGCTGTTACATAAACTATGTTTAATCAAGAAAGGTACTACAAGTGAACAAATTGTACAGTTTCAATGATTTATAAACAATTCTGTGTATATTTAAGAGTTCAATTAAAAATACAGCAAACAGATTATGAAATCAGATAAAAAAGTAAATAGAGCTTGAACAAATGCATGTAATCAATGAAATCAATGAATTGTAATCAATAAGCAAGAATTGTTACACTTATTCTTGCCTTTTTGCAATATTTAAATAGTTTTAATGAGATTACTAAGTTTGTTAATGAAAATAGTAATTATTATTATTATTATTATTATTATTATTATTATTATTATTATTATTATTATTATTTGGTGTATTATCATAAAAGCAGACATTATTCAACAATAGATTCAGAGTAGAAAGAAAATGTGTGGATTTTTTACATAAAATATTTTTATTTTAATACATTAGAAGAACTTCACCAAAATGAAATTCAACATTATTAGTATGTTATTTCACTAAACATCGTACGTTTTGTAATTAAATGCACGAGTACAAGAGATAATTTTGTTACTTTCAGTTCGATGAAATTCGTCAAAAAAAGGAAGCTGAAGAAAGAAGACGTTTTCCATTAGAACAGAGACTCAAAAAGAATATTGTGGGGCAAGAAGGTCCAATAACAGTAGTGGCATCAGGTGAATTAGCATTTTCCACAAGGGGCCAAGAACTGAAATTGAAGGGATGAGCACAGTAGTGGTCTAACCCTAAAAGAATCAAAAATTAATTTTGTCACCATTTGTTCTCCAAGGTGATCTATCTTTGTACATTATTGGTTTGACCAGTTTTCCTCTCTAAAGTTGAGAAGGAAGTCAAGTTTTGCTCATCACAAACTCTTTCTAACCACTTGTATTATTAACTTCATTGTCGGCATGTAAATTTAACTTCATTTTTCTCCATTTTCTTAAAATGTGGTTTAGTCCACTATTATGCTGTCACTTTCAATTAGTTGTGAAATTATAAGAAACAATTGAATTCCATTAAAGTTTAGATTTAAAATCCAATGTAGTTTCTTAATTTGTTTCAGCTATACGCCGTAAGGAGAATGGCTGGTCAGATGAAGAACATCCTTTGGTTTTCTTGTTTCTTGGATCATCTGGAATCGGTAAAACTGAGCTTGGAAAACAACTGGCCAATTATATTCATAAGGAAAAAACAAATGGATTCATTCGCCTAGACATGTCTGAGTATCAGGAAAAACATGAAGTAAGTGCGTGTCAGTGTAATAATTATAAATGCTCTTCATGCAACAATAAAAAATCTATTCACTTATTCTTTAGGTTGCAAAACTTATTGGAGCCCCACCTGGCTATGTAGGACATGACGACGGTGGTCAGCTCACAAAACTTCTCAAGAAATGCCCTACAGCAGTTGTTCTTTTTGATGAAGTTGACAAGGCTCATCCTGATGTGTTAACAGTGCTCCTGCAACTCTTTGATGAGGTTCTCCTACGTACATAAATAGAAGCATATACTTTGTGTACACTGTAATGTTTTATTATTTTCACCTCAATAGTTCTTTTATAATGAAACAAAAAACAAATATTGCTAGTACAGTAAAACTTGCTCAAAGCAAAATCTCAATGCTCTAGAATTTTTTTCTATATTAGACAAGATTCTGCTTTATGCAATATAATACTGAAAAATTCGTGTTTGGTAGGACCACAATTTATGTTCACATTAGACAGATTCTGCATTATAAACATTCTGCATTGAGCAAGTTTTACTGTGGTATTGAAATTTACTTTCTGTCACACAATTCAACAAATCAAAGTTGATTTTGAAGAACCAAATGCTTACCAAAATAAATGGCCATAAGATTTTTATCTAATTTTTGAAACATCTATGTTACATATGTGATGTTTTATGGTATTCTGGGTGAATGATTGTACATTTCTGAAATCATTCTTTTGCAGGGAAGGTTGACAGATGGGAAAGGAAAAACTATAGAATGTAAAAATGCAATTTTTGTAATGACATCAAATTTAGCAAGTGATGAAATTGCTGAGCATGCTCTCCAATTGCGCAGAGAAGCCCAAGACATCGTTGACAAGAAATTGGAAGGAAAATTAGGTTGGAAAGCATTAGATAAACAGTAACGCATTTTGTGTTTAATTTAAACTTTTTCCTTATTGTATTTTTTGCATACATGTTAGAGCTATTCCTAATTTTTGCATTTGGCATTTCAGAAAATATGGAAATGACTGAAACAATCACTATATCTCGCCATTTTAAAGAAAATGTTGTTCAACCAATTTTAAAGAAACATTTCCGAAGAGATGAATTCCTTGGTCGGATAAATGAAATTGTGTACTTTCTTCCCTTTTCACGCTCTGAGCTTCTGAAACTGGTATCTAAAGAGTTGCATTTTTGGGCAAAGAAGGTATGAAAGTGTGTATCTTGAATTAGTTTCATTACACATGTTAATCGACATGTGAAGTAAAGCATTTGATATAATAAACACGAAGACATTTTGAGCTAAATCACAATAATTGGCAGTTATGATTGAGAAGAAATAGGTCTCTCACTTCAAGTAGATTCAAGATCAGATAACAAACTAATAGCGCTAACACAACTCCTACTTCCGCACATTATTTGTGACAGTTACGCAGTATTAAAAAACTACTTGAAGCAACAAAAAATTTTGCCCAGATTGGGTGTCAAACTCTTGTACTTATATTTGGAAAACAATGAACTTACTCTCTACACCTACTTTCTGACTTAGTGTACTGATGTGCTTGATGCATCAAAAAAATTACATCTCTGCCAATTTAGTAAAAGTTCCACTATTCAGGATAAATAAACTAGTGGTAATCATCAGTATACTTTCTTGCATTATTTGTAACTTTTGCTATTTTTGAAAATTCAGAGAGTTCAACAAAAATTGTACTTACTCCATTTATATAGATGTACTTTGCGATATCTGAGAAAAAATTAAAGAAAAAATTTGGAGCCATTTTTGAGAAATGCATTTTTTAAATGCCTTTATTTCACACAAAATTACATGAAAATTCATTGGTTGGTTGGTTGGTTGGTTGGTTGGCTGTTAGTGATTCCGGGCACATCAACTGCTGACGTCATTAGTTCCATAAGTGTAGTGCAATGTTGTTTCCTCAATAAGGTGGCAGTGATCTCCCACTAGATAGCGAGATCTGGTGCTGACCTACTTTCGGCTAGTGAGGTTTCCCTTAACCACGTATCTCCTACCAGCAGGGCACCACCCCAGTCGGGACAAGCTCTAAGCTCCCGACCTGTCTTCCAGCAGGTGTGGTAGTATAGTGCATGTTAGTGTAAGTGTGTGTAAGGGGTGAGGATATGACAAGGAAGGGGAAGGAAAGATTGCAATCCATGGCATGTTTGTTAGGGTACTGCTCCAGCATTCGCCCAGTGTTAATCGGAGAAACCACAGAAAACTACCAATTAAACTAGCCAGCCTCTAGAATTCTCCAGGCAGCGACTGAATTCGACCTAGCCGACATGCTAGTGTCAAAAATCTTGCCGGTGTCAGGATTCAAGCCTAGGACCTCCTCGTCATAGACACTGAAGTGACATCAGTTGATGCACTGAGCCACCTCTCCCAGTATAAAAACTCGTCTTTTCAAAAAATTGTGTATGACCTTATTTAAAGATCTGTTTTTGATGTATTGATTTTATTAAAGCAAAATATCTCTTATCTTCAATATTGTAGTTGTAGGAAGATATTGAAAAAAATTTAATATTTGCAATTTTCAAAACTTGTGAGGATTCAACAAAAATCAGACATGTGTTTTTTTTATAAACATACTTTGCTCCATCTAAGAAAAAATTTTGAAAATATTCTCAAGGTTTCATGTGAAGTATTCCCAAAAGACAAAATACGCATTTAAAATTCAAGGGGTCGCAACATGAGCTAGATTGATGCGACCCAAGAACCAAGGCTTCTAACTACACTGGTTAATTGAAAAAGCATATTTTGCCAATATAATTATGAAATGACATGTGGCTTTGATAAACCCACATGTACAGAGATAAAATTCACAAGATTATGCAGTTTGAATTTTTGCAACTCCTTGGTACATCGCTTTTGAAAATAGTTAAAAGCTATTTCATTTGTATTTTGCAAAACAGATTGATATTCCTCAATTGATTGGATGTTACAATTTTCTCTATGTTTGGTAAAATGGTTAAATCCATTTTATTAAAGTTTAGAAGAATGTATATACAGATGTGCATAAGGTAATGATATCATTGTTTTAAATTCCTTCAAAGTCAATATTTGGGATGGCGTTTAGTTCTGGGTGTTCAATGTATGAAATTATCCTCACTTGCCTATATAATACTCTGGAAATAATGCAAGAAATTATGTGCTGGTTTAGCCCCACTAGTTTAAACTATTTTTGATATTAAATAATAATAAAATCATTTAATTATTTGAAAAAATGTATACCATTGAATGTTTATTATATGCATGAAGTTATTTTTGTAATCATATCAAGTTCAGTGAACTGGCATGTAACTGCTTCATGTGTCAGTTTTTCTTGTCAACAGGCAAAAGAAAAACACCAGATTGACCTGACATGGGATCGTTCTGTGGAATCCATCCTTGCTGATGGCTACGATGTTCATTATGGAGCTCGGTCTATAAAATATGAAGTAGAACGTCGAGTGGTGAACCAACTTGCCTCTGCTCATGAGCGTGGTCTGATAGGTCGAGGCTCTGCAGTGTACGTAACGGTACATTGTCCAAATGGGGAAGATGGGGAAGTTGTGATCAAGTTACGGGTGAAAGGACGAGGTGTCAAAGATTTTATTGATATTGACGAAAAGAATTCTGTGATAAATTTGAGTTCAAAATTTATATAATGACATTAGAAAAAATAATATGATTTTGTATGGAATTAAATGTGTGTCTGAATTCTAAATTAGAATACATATTTACTAATTGAAATAAATTATCTGTGATTTGTTGTGAAGAAGTATCATATAACTTCTTCCGCTTGAATATCTAAATTTGTCGTATTGTATGTTATTGGCCCTAATAATCATGAGTACCAACAGGTTTAACTCCTTACAATGAAGATTAGGAATAGCACAGAACACTATGTTAAGAGAATCCAGTAATTGATGACTTCATGTAATATACAAGACAAAAGACCCTTTTTGTCCATTGCAACTCTGGCAATATTTAATTTATTTCAGAATTGAAGAACTTATTTTTAAACTTATATTTCCATGAAACACCCAAATTTTCAGGAAGGGAATTCACATTCAGCCTTACAGTTCAACATAGGATTCAACACTTTTTGGATAACATTTAACATACGAAAAATGGAATTTTTTAACACAATACTTGGCAGCATGATGGAGAAGCATCATAAAAACATATATCGATAGATAAAACTAGAATACATTCTGAAATACAGATTAATCACTTTGGAAATAAGCTCTGCATTTGTGTGATTTAATGATTTTGAAGTATTCAGAACATGTCCATTTCATGATCTGTATTTAAATAAGATGTTCAGATGAACTACTGCCTTTGATTTGTAGACGCCTCTTTTAACACTTATTTTGTGTTTAATTTTGTAAACTTCACAGGAAAAACGTAAATCAGTTCCCAACATCACATTGTGAGTGCAATACGTGTTGGGAATATGTATTTAACGGATATACTCTCGGTCAGGGCAAACTTTTGTACCCTTTACAAGATTTGTAGTAAAAGTCCAGAACTCCCTAAAATTGTGCCTGCACTTCTAAACCAAGCTCTGTGAGGTTACAAAAGTTGAGCATTTTGAGACACTGAATATGGATAGGTGACCATCTGGGAACTCCTGATTCTTGTAGCGCTGAGGTCCTGTCAGTTAGTCAGAGATAAAATGCAATGACTTACAACTTGACTTGACATATGAGGATTTAATAAAGGGCTCAGTAGAACAAGGGGCTATCCAACATTGACCTAGTTCTAAGATATTGAGGGTTTTAGAACTTTCATAATATAACTTGGTACATTTTAAAACTTTTTAATGCATTACTTTTGCATTCAAAACCATACTGGAATTCAATTACACAATACATCGAAAGAATAATATTTGAAGTTATATTTAATGAATCTTCCAACTTTCCTCCTCTTTATGGACTTTGAAAAAGCCGGTGATAGGATGAACAGAAACAAAATGTGGGAAATACCGGAAGATGAACAGATACGTACAGACATAATAAAAGAAATCCAGAGTCTGTATAGAGACTCTCAGATTGAAGTAAGAAAGAATGATGGAAGTAATACAGAGACTTTTAGAAGAATCAGAGAACTGAGACAGGGGTGTGGGCTATCACCATGCCTGTTTAAGATTTATGCAAACCACATGATCAAAAAGTGAAAACCGGTATACATTTCACAAAAGACAAATGGTCCAAACAATTCTCTATGCAGATGACATGATCCTGACAAAGGAATCAGAGGATGACGTACAGAGGGCAGCTAATGAACTTCATAAAATGGCCTTAACATACAACATGAAAATCTCAACAAATAAGACTAAAGCTGTGGCATTCCAAGGTAAAGAAATGAGGAGGGTTAAAATTGTTATTGATGGAAAAATAATAGAACAAGTAGCAAAATTAATGTATCTAGGAAACATCATTGGACGAAATTCAAAATTCAGAATATAAAGAGAAAAATTCAAAAATATAATGGGGCAAACGGAATAAGCAAAAAAATCTTTGGAAGAGATGACAACAAAGACAAAACTAAGAATACACAGCATAACATCTAAGTCAATGTTAATGGATCAGAAATATTAGCCATACAAATGAGGCTTTTCCGGCATTTGGTAGAAACTACACATCTAGATCGAGAAAGAAACACTGAAATCAGAAAAAACTTGCAAAAAATATAGTGGATGACATTAAAGAGAACCAGAGGAGATGGCTTCCACATGTGCGAAGAATGGAAGCGGAAAGATCTCCTAAAACAGTTTTAAAGTATAAGCCCATTCGATGAAGAAATATAGGAAGACCCAACAAAAGATGGATTGCTCAAGAATATCTGGAAGAATTATCGCTAGATCTATTGACTTAACAGGAACAGGCACCAGACTATCCTGCTGAGGATGATGATGATTTCACACTAACTCAATCTAACAAAAAATGTGGGATAACCTCTAGTTCTACTGAGCCCTTCAATGTAAATAATGTTAAAAATTATACTTGATATAAGTAATTATTATAAAGCTAGTTGTAATATCCAAAACAATCGTCATTGCTTTTAATGTTTTGCAGAGATTTTAATTACAATGAGTAACTTCTCAGGAAACTTTTAAGTAACAAGTGGCACTATGCAGCACATACTTTCTCGCCCTTATTTTCACGCAAAATTACGCGAAAAGTTATCAAATTTTGGAAAAATTTTACATGACCTTATTTCAAAATCTATCTTTAAGGAAATAAAGCGAAAAAATTTCAATCTTCAATAATAGGAAGCTTCCGAAAAAATTTTGAACTTTCACAATTTTCCAGAAAAAAAGGTTTTTCAGCGAACGTGTGTCCTGCACCATTCTCTTAAATGTCTTTCACAATAGCAGAAAATATAATCAAAAACGATGCAGCCCCCACGCCTTTTTTTTAATTTCAAAAATTGTTCGGTCACTAATCGCCACTGGTAGGAACATCATTTATCTACATTTTCGTTTCCAGCACAATTCATTCTCTTCTTACGAAGTAAGGCGACAACGGGCGTATCGTCAATAGATTTGAGTGATGTGTCGCATCCCTTCGAGTCTTTCACATACTTTTCTCATTGTGAATGTATCTACTAGAAATCATACGCGCTGAAGGTGAACATACCTGACACGGATACTACACATAAAATTATGTAACAAAAATAGACGAAGATTTATTTAGTTAAAAACAGAAAAAACTATGTATGGGGGAGAAGATTATCTGTGCACATTTTTATGAGTTCCAAAACCTCTTTCCATCATTTTAACTATAAATAGTTGAAAGAAGAGTAAAAGATACGGATAAATAAAAATAAAAGTTAAAAACCGCGCGATATCAGCAACATTTGAAAAACTACACATTTTCGTTCCGGAGTTACAGAAAACTTATTTGCAACGGTAAACGAACTGTAGGTTTTTATTTTCTGCATTGCTACCGAAATAGTAACTCGCCCTAACCTCTACTCCTTCCAAAATAAACAAAAGGAGAGTTTAACAAAACGGGCGCATAGAGAAGCTACATTTACGCCCAGAAGCAAAACAAGGGGTCATCTCAGCATTTGCTCAATGTATCAGGGAAACGACATAAACCTGATCGAGATAGAGGTCATTGACCCGGAAGCTGAAGTACATTATTTGTTACGTCATTAAAAAATACAATACAAATGTAAACGAATTCATTATATACCACTATATTCTTAAAATAAACTTTATTTTTCTTTTCGATGATCACAATAGTATCTAATTGTATAGAAACAGTAATGCAGCGGAAAATATTTTACTTTTAACCTAAATTTGTGTACCGACTTCAATCGTATTATAGTATTTAAAAAATTGTACTTAGACTTATCGTAATAAAAAAATTGAATATAGACTTATCCTATTAAACTTCGTTTTAATTAATTTACATGAATTACGTTATATTATATATTAGTATTGTGTATCATGTGTTATACATTAGTAGTGAATTTTGTAATATTCATTTCCGTTTTTCGTTAGAGCTGCAACTTCTAGGTTGTTGGGGCACCAGCCACCACTTGGCTGACGACTGCGTGGGAAGTCGAGTTCTTGAAGTATCGTGTCCGCTCACTCGAGTGTATGTTTTCTAACAATGTTCATGTTTTACTGGCAGGAAAATAATATTAAAAAGTTTTAACATTTGTTTCTCGGATGCAGTTTTAATTGTTTGTTTGCGTTGTGAGTAGTGAAGAACTACTGGGGATCTACTGAACATGAAGAAAAGTGAGCGGCCATGGCTGTCTGCTAAAATTGGTACCTTGCTTTATGTTCAGTAGTTTGTTTTCAAGAGGACTAGGATAAACAATATTAGATTTTTTGTTTTGACGCACTTCGTACCTGTTTTTGTTGTTTTTTGCGTGAATTTTGCGATGGTAGAGGAGGGTTGTGGGGATCCGGAAGGTTAGGAAATGGTTTAGAAATCTAAAACACTAAATTTGTTTTGAGTTGCTGGGAGCTAGACGTGTTTCTGTGTCGTGTGCATGTACAAAGATTTGCAGTGTTGCCGATGTGCCCAACTGTGTGAAGAGAACGACCTCTTAAAAAATATAAAATCCCACACAAAATAATTTACAAATTACTGAATACCCAAAAAAGTACTATGCAAAAAATATCTTGTAATTAACCATAGATTTTGCTTTCTCCTTCCCTCAATTCTTTTTTTGCTTGAAATCGTACTCACTATTATGCATTAGTAAAATATTCGTAATTGTTTTAACTGTAGTAGTCGCCCGAGCCCCCTTGAAAGAGCCGCCACAGGTACCCAGTGGTGAGACGGCGGTGCCACAGTAAAATACGGGCGCCGGTCACAAGAGGTCGCTGAGGTGGGGCACGTCACGCTTCAGCCGGCGCGACAGAGCGCGTCGCCAGCCGTACGGCCGCGCCAGTCTGCGAGCCCTCAGCCCGTCCCTCTCTGTCAACAAAAAACTCCTCCTATACTACACCAATATCATATCCATCATTACATACGCCTCTTCCGCCTGGTCAACAATCCTCCAGTCCACATATAAGAACCTAAAAACCGTTGAAAACCGCATCATCCACCTTATCTTTCAACCTCTTCCCGGTCAAAACTACACCTTCCGAACACAACACAACATCCCTCCCCTCCCCCAATACCTCTTCAACACATCCCTAGACACGGTACAGCAATTCGTAAATAATCCCATCTTCACCCACCTCATTCAACCTCACAAAAATATTCTCAACTCCCCCCCCCCCCGCGTCATTCCCGAAAAAAGCACCCCCTAGATATCCTCCAACTCCCCCCCCTTCGACCTAAAACCACCCGTGAAATTAAGACCCAAGGAACGCCACGACAAAACCCTCAACAAAATAACCCCTCTAAAAGAATTCCCCCACCTAATTTCCAACATCCTCAAACCCCCTAAGTGCATAACAACCTCGCTCTTTTTCATACTTTTCGCTACCAACACCAACAACCTTAAATGAAAAAAAAAGTCATAATCCCAAACAAACCCCAGTCCTATCCACCCCCAGCCCTCTCGGGAACGGGAGGCAGCTGGCCAATCAAGAATTAGAATAAAAACCCAAGACGGTAGAGGGCATAGATACAGGCCGTCCTCACCCAGATGCACCAACGAGACGAGACATAGACGGTAGATGAGGAGGAAATGGACGACAACGCCAACACACACATTGTACAGTCGAAGAAGTTTCGATTACAATTAAATGCTTGCGTAGTCGCAAGGCACCGGGACCTGGCCAAATTGGCCCTCCCATTTTTAAGGAGGCCCTTCCGGTCATAAACACGGAGCTTACGCGAATCTACAATAGCTGCATTACACGGCGGTATTTTCTGGAAAATTGGAAATACCCAAATATTTCTATGCTTCCGAAACCCGGTATGGATCTCACGATCGCGGCGAGCCACAGGCATATCAGTCTTCTGCCGGTTATGGGAAAGGTATTTGAAAGGCTTCTACTCGCACGAATTCTGCCAACTACTCTCTCGCGGAACCTCATCCAAGATGAACAGTTTGCATTCGGGCCTTCACGGGCCATTCCGCATCACTACAAGCACTTTGCATGGCTCAGCAGATTTTCGCTGATCTGTACACTCATCATCAAATTTCGGCGCTGCCTTCCACAAGATGTAGCCGGAATGGTTACATCTTTCCTCACAAACCGCACAATCGTGATAAACGTGGGCAAAGCGAGATCCTCAAAGCGGAGGATTGCGGCCGGAGTCCCTCAGGGCTCCATCCTCTCCGCTACTGTTCTCGTTGTATGTCAATGACATCCCGCATATACCACGAATTCGGCTGTTCCTTTATGCTAATGACATAGCTGTCCTAGCAAGAGAAATAAACACACTCAAAATACATCAAAAACAGATGAACCTGACGCTGAAGTGGGCGGAACAAAAACTCTTGACATTTTTAGCGGGAAAGTCGAAGGCCATCTGTTACACCCGCTGCAAACACAAATACACCAAACGTTTTACACCACCAAAATAAATAACCCTTGGTACACAAAAACTAACATAGGCACCTAAGGCAACCTACTTAGGTGTCACTTTTAATCGAATTCTGCGATGGCATTTACATGTCAGGCGAATTCGATCAAAATTACAAAAAAGAGTTCTTTTGAAGGAACCTACACTCCCCTTGGACCTTCGCTTGGCACTATAAAACGTGTTGTCGGCCTGTGGCCACCTACGCTGCGGCAACGTGGTGGACTACAGCACAGAAGTACAAGGATACACTTGAGCTGGTACAGAACAAAGTTCTACGGCTCATAGCACGCCCTCCGTTTCGGAAACGGTTGAAAGTACGGAGGAAGGAACTTGATATCGAGTCCTTCACTCAATGTTTGAGACGGCTTCGTTTAACGATGCCTATCAAGCCTTTCAAACCGACGAAGCTCCGTCAACGCTTAAACAGTTAACTCAACACGTCCTTATAATAAGGCAAAGAAGCACTCCCCTCTGATATTCTAAGGGCTTAGTGCAACACAAAAGCCGACTTGGCTATTGACTTAGGTCCGACACGAACCCACACCAGCCACTCACACGCAAAATTTGCTTGCGCACTGCAACACATAGTACACAAACCTGTGGCTAAGCCAAAAAAAAGGGGGGTGGGAAAAGATCGAGCTTCTCCGGAAGTACTTGGATCCAGGAGTGGCTGAAGTTGTGGCGGGTCAAAGTCAATGCGAGTGCAGCTGTGCTCTTCACATGGAGACCGACTCACGCAGCCAAGGTCGCTCGCGTTATGCGGAGACGCGATTAATTGGGCAAGACATGTCAAATATTTAGGTGTCACATTAGACGGACCCCTTACATTTAATCTGCACATCGAAAATGTGCGAAAGAAAGCGCGGCAGACCCGAAGCAGATTGCGAAGCTTGTAAAAAACGCACTTCACTTACCGGACTTAATAATAATATTATATAATAATAATAATAATAATAATAATAATAATAATAATAATAATAATAATAATAATAATAATGTTGTTCTTTTAATTTCTATGAATTAGTGTGCAATGATTTACAAACTTGTAGATTGTATAAAAGCTTATGACTGAGTAAACAGAAAAAAGTCTAGGGACAAGAAAACTTTAACAGTCACCTAATAGAAGCCATTAAGAGCCTAAATGAGAAATCAGAAATTCAAACAGATGGAGAAACCACAATAGTGATCCCCACATATGTTGGTCTTTCTCAAGGATGCACCTCATCCTCTCTCCTATTCAATGTTGATATTAATCTTACAGTCAAGAAATGGAAAGAAGTAGAAACAGGCATACATTTTGCAAAAAATTAACAAATAATATCACACAACAATTTCCATTGCAAAAGTGAAAGCAATGGGATTCAAATGAAGAAAACCCTACAGAACCAAAATAGAAACAGAAAATGAAGTAAATTAATCTTGCATTTATTTAGGAAATAAGATTACCTTATGGACAGAGGTCACTGATTAAAAATTGTAAAGATTCAACATAATAAATGGAACTACAAAAAGTAAATCCCAAAACATGTCTAAATATAGTATAAAAATCAGACTCTATAGCATAGCAGCAAAACCAGTTTAATTGTATGAGACTGAAATGTGAATATTAAAACAAAGAGACAGATTCGGCACAAGTGAAATACCCGAGATGATTATTTGGAACATGGGATTCAGGAGTGGATAAATGTGATAAAAAATAAATAAATACAAAAATAAAAGAAAATGCCAAGATCATATTAAAAGAACGAAACCCAACAATTCTCTAAATCTCAGATCTTGAAATAGGAAGAAGAGAACCAGTCAGGTTGAGGAAAAGTTGAGAAGGCAAGGAAAACTTTAGTAGTACTCGCGCATCTTTTCTTGAACGATGGATTGAAGAAATGCGGGTAGAGTTAGGGTATTAGTTACGAAATCGGCCACTAAATTTTATCAAGCAATGCCAATCTCTGGAGAATCAGACATTCCTTAGCAACGTTTTCAATAATTTGCGTTCTACCTTTCTTAGGAGTTCTAGATATCTCCTGTGATAGATCGCCACCTGCTTCAGTAATTTCTTTAGATTTTTTGGGAAAATAACGGATAGAAGTTCTTGTCTTCAAAAGAAAATTGTTTCTATTTCGCGCCAGTGAAGATTTGTTTGGAATGTTGTCATCAGTATTCGCTGCGATTTTTTGCCTTCATCTGTTCATTGTGCCAGAGGGGGGGAAGCAAGGTCATCGTTCAAGAAACGTTGCGCGGGTAATATCAACTAAGGAAAATTTGGAATCACCTAGCCATAACACCAAAGCTCAGTTCGTAATGATGATGATAAGTAAGTTTTACAAAAGAAGATTCTCATATGCATTACAATTACCTTAAATATTTAAGTCAAATGATGAAATATATTTGAATTCAGAAGCACAACTACTAACTGTTAGTAAGTGATCAATAGATAGCACATCTATTGAATGTAAACTACATATCTTAATATACAGAGTCTACATTTAATTGGTATTCATGTTAACTTTAATTAAATTTGCATTCAATTCATTAAACTGTGTTTTTAATCATTACAATTTCTATTATCCTGTACATACAATGAAAGGAATGAAAAAATAAAAAAATAATTATTTTTTCCTGATTTAATATCCTTCAACAGCCCACTTTTTAAAAAGAAAATGTTAACAAAAATGACATTCAATACAGTACTAGTAAAACTTTTTAAGTTTAATGCATAATAAAAAAGTTATTACGTATGTAATGTATACAATTTTTTTTTTTTATTGATTGTAATTGTAAAAGTGATTCGGTAAATGATATTATAAAAATTAGTTATTCAATAGTTTCTGGTGTATCCTGAAGTTTATTTCGTTAAATTTAAAATATTTCTATTGAAATTCTCTTCACAACTTTAGGGTGTTGAATGGAGCTGCTGGTTTGTAGTGGTCACCACACATGACATACTCTGTAAAACCCCATTTCCTTCACTCACCACTGTTATTTCAGTTCTAGTTGGTAATTTTAAGTGCTTGTTTATTTTTGTGAATTTAAACTGAAGGTGTTTTGTGGATTTACACATTATGTTTTATCATTAAATTTCCATAAACGAAAGAGCAATGATATTCATCTTAAATAAAATGAATTAAAATGCAATAAATATAATTCACTCTAAGCACTGAAAATAACATACACAATTAAAAGATTTTTTTCAACAATACAACACAACACATTTATTCCGAAAAACTCAACTGCAACTGTTACTTTGACAGTTAATTTAGATCACACTAATTCATTTTAAAATGCTGTTTGTATACATATGATATTCATTAACATAAATTATTTTTTACATAATTATTGCTTACTTCCACATATTTTGATCTTGAATATTTGGCACTTCAGATTTATCTAACTAATAATAACTAATTAAGGATTATGCACAGCTTCTGCTTCATTATCTTAAACTCTTTAAGCTGAACAGTGGGAATCGATATATAGAAAACTTACCACCACTCCAACTCTCATGCACTTAATTTCATAAAATTCTAAATTCACATTCACAATCATAAAATTCAGCTCATTGCATTTATTTCACATACACATCACAGAATTTTACATACATCTTCATTCATCAACAATTTTAAACTCATTGTTTTGAAAAAAAAAATTTTTTTTAAGTATAAAATAATTTATTGATATTATGATAATTAGATTGGACCCTGTCTTACACATAATCGAAAAGCTGTCAATAAAGCATCATCATTAAACTAAACGTTTTATAAAATGATTTTTCTCTGAAAATATTTTGGCACTACATTATTTCTTGTTTTCTTTACCTGTATGACCTTACACACATTTAAAATGTGAAAACAATGTTTAAGACATTTGATGATTTTGATACAATATGAATCTGAATTATTCACAATATACATCTATTTTCTGGAATATTTAAAGAAAATATATCATACCAAGTTGACAATAATTTAACAATACTCCATAAGAACTATATAAGTTGAAGATGAAGTTGTATTTAGTGGATTCGTTCGTATGAATATTCAAATAATGACCTTTTAATACCAACACACAGGTTTAATTGAAACGTAGAAACATCACCACAACAGAGTTCACCTTGCGCTTTGGCTATGTAATACCCGGCCGTCAATAGAGCAGAGAGTTTTATATGCGGGGGCGTGTTGTTTACATTTGTCACAGGCCATTATTTCAGCAGCTGATCGCGGTTCTTCGGAAACGTTCGTGTGCATTCGGCAGATGCCTTCGCCGGAGGCGTGTCAGATTGTATTGAGAAGGGGGAGGAAATGCAGAAGTTGTGTGAGGAAAGGGAGGGACGGATTGCGGCGCTCTGCGTCTTGCAGGTGGTCCGTTAAGTATGTGTAGTGTCAGTGGGTTTTAATGATTGCGATTGTTGTGACGTTCGAATCCACAATGAAATTTGCAACTTTGAATCCACTTCTCTCAGAGTATAATGGTCTGATCACAGCTACCAGAAACGACAAACAATCAGAGTGGCATGCAGCAATCGTGTGTCTCCAGTCCGACCAGCACGTGGTGTCACGCACGAAGAGCTGGTGTCGCAGGGAGGTGCAAATGCGGACGTTCGTAAATATATTCTGATGCCATCGCTGATTTGTGTTATAAATCTCCCTGAGACATTGCCTGCCAGGGGTGACACATCACGTGAGAGCTCTTTTCGCCCAGTTGAATGATTTTCTCCCGAGATGATCTCTGTGGGGGACTGCAGCTGTTCGGCTTGCGCGAGGAGGCGAAGACCTAAGACATAAATACATATCTCAAAACAACGCTGCAGGTTTCTGGACAGTGTTACACAATGCCAGGAATCGAACGTTCAATATGAAAAATGGGCAATTATCATAATCATGCTTTCGATGTAACTAGAAAGGAAGGCTAGTATTGCGAGAATATTGCGACAGCAGTTGCACCAAACAGTATCGACGCTGTTCGCAAGGTATGCCGCGCACTTCCCTCTAGTGTTGCAATTATTAAGTTCTTTTATAGCACCTCCACCTTCACCACAGTAAGGTGTACACCTCACTCACTGTGTCCGAGGCAAGTTAAACGCACGTACACTCTTTTTCTCTCTCTCTCTCTGACTTCTCGCTCGAAAGCGAGCGATTTGTCGCTCATTTTTGTGGCTTATTACCGACTCATTTACTGACGTTTAATTAGTAATATTAATGTACTGTTGTTAAAGCAGTAATATTAATTTATGGCGCTAAAATACCTGCAATCTTGGGCAGGTTCGAGTCTACAAAAAACAACAACAAAAAACGCGAAGTGAATCATAATCTTTAAACAAACAAAAAGGAATTTGTCATTCACGGCTTAAAGTTAACTGTCGTTAAACTGACTATTTTAATGTTTTCACTTTCTTTAAAAAGTAAAGTCTCCATTCAAAAGTGATTTTTTCATTGACAAAATGAAACCTACGTAATGAACATTGTCACCGAAAATGTTATTTAGTAAATCGTCGCTTTCCAGGTCAAAGGTTTGTCGCGACTTCGTGAAAATGAAATAAAGCAAAGATAAGCGAGAAGGAAATTTCAAGACACCTCTTACATGTTGAATACTTTGGAATAACACAACTTGCGGGTCCAATCACTTGAAATCGTTCGTCTCAACGACGGTTTAATTTTACCGCCTAATACTTCCGCATATTCATAAATGGTATTTTACACCATACTCATTCGGTTCGAAACTTTTTTTTGGGGGAGGGGGGGCTAGTGAAGAACATTATATGTTACTAAAAGCCAGTAAAAACTGCACGAGGTAATTTATAAACATATATAATATATATATATATATATATATATAATATATATATATATATATATATATATATATATTCATTTTGCGCAGTGCCAAATTCGCCGGTTAACCACATGTGAATTCTTAAAACATTGTTTAAAATTCTCCTGCCAACACAAGATATGGAGATCAGATAGGATTATCTGAAAGAGATGTTAAACAAAATATTTTGTTAACAATAAACCCATGTTAAAAGTTAATTAAATAATGCAATAAATATCCACCGTTTTGTTCAATATAAGCAATGTTACATAGTATTTCATTCTTTTCTAAACTGAGATTATATTGGAATAATAAGTAGCCACCTCACGAAGTATCAACTAGATTACTTGAAATTTAAATCAAAGGTTCATGTGGAAGACAATTTTTTAAGGAAGGAAGGAAATGCACAGTTTAGAAACATTACTTTTTGTTTTACTCATAATTTCTAGCTTATTCATGATATTATTCAAAAATAGAGCAAAGGAGAAGTAATCAAAGAAAGGAAAATGTAAATAGTAATTTAAAATTAACAAAATCTATAAATTCAAAAAAAATAAAAATATTCGTATACATCCTCCGTACGAAGGAAAGCTCAATAAGTGTAATATATTCCTAAGGAAGAGGGTAGGGTTGTGGATTTAATTAAAAATGCTTACAAAACAAGTTAGTTTTAGGGCGTATAGCAATTATGAAGTACTATTAAAATGATTTATTAACAGAAAATGAATGTTCACCCTCGTCTCGTTGCGTTAATTTTAAGAATTTTATGTAAGATCTAGTACCCACTTATGGTACAAAGAAAATTACTTCTGAAAATAAACTGGAAAACGCTGTAACATAATATACCCGTTGTATAGTCTAAAACCATTTTGCACAAGGTTGTTAATATTGTCGAGCCAACAATATTATCTAAAGTTCGAAATTATAATTAAAAATGTGTATCTGTTATACGTCCAGACACAGTACTTAGTACGATAAAAATATTCACGAAAATGGATATTTTATTGTGTCCTTTAAACGGAGTTCGCTTAAGCGTCTTCTGTAAAGTGAGAAATGTCTCTGGTTAATTTGAAAATTCACTCTTAATATAATAATTTAATAATATACCGAATTGTTTCTTACCATTAGTAAGCTTTCGTTAATATCATTCGTATCGGACCACGTTCCAACCCAAAACACAAATGACCTTGAGTCTGTCAAGTTTCCGACCACGTGATTTCAAGGAGCCAATCGTATCTCACTTTAGGCAAAGCAGAGGCACCGCGTTCCCTGCGCCGTAAAGATGCGCCGTAGACCAGTTAGTTCATAAAATGAAGTCGGAATCAAAAACTTTGTTGACAGCTCAAACAGAAAAGCCAAATCATTACTCGTAAGTCATTTTATTATCGATTTGTACCTTTTGCAATATGTTTAAATGTGTTTAGAATAGTATGTGTGAAAGTAATCTTATTTGGATGCGTTTGCAGGTATTTAAAGGAATTTCGTGTGGAGCAGTGTCCATTGTTTCTTCAGCATAAATGTACTCAACACAGACCTTTCACTTGTTTCCACTGGCATTTTATGAATCAGCGTCGTCGTAGGCCTGTGAGAAAAAGAGATGGATCATTTAATTATAGTGCAGACAACTACTGCACAAAATTTGATGAAACTACGGGGTTATGTCCTGAAGGAGACGAGTGAGTGCAAGATGCTCTATAGCTTAAGCGTCACCTCTTACCGTTTTCGCGGCAATTACAATCCCGATTAGTTTTAGTTGATATCTCTGTATTATCGCCTTAGCTTTATCTAACAGGAACTGTATTTATGCGATGCGAAGTTGTTGTGAGAAGAAAACCCGTTCTTTTGTCAATAATATCTAATGATAAATTTCCTACTGCTAATGCCTTCATATGTGTACGTAAATGATTAACATCGAAATTTCTTAACATCGATTACAATTTAACCTTAATATCATTGTTATTTAATTTCTTAAAGACTTATTATATTTAATGATATATGATCTGTAGACCTGTTAAAGTGAAAAATGTCAAGTTGGTAATCTGCATAAGTACTTTTAGAATAATGTGGATATCTTCCTAATTTATTTTTGATTTATGGCACATCTTTAAATAAATATTCATTGACGACTTTGTAATGCCGGAAATCCTTAAATGTTGTTAGTGTAGTCTTATTTGAAACTAAAAAAGCTTGGTGTATTGACATGATTTTAGCTACCCTTTTCTTGTGGTTCATCTCTAATTTTCACAATAGTTACATATATTGATGATTTAATGTAAGATCTATTTGACTGTAGTATTTGTTTATACACCAGGTTTGCCAAATTATGAAAATTTGTTTAAATGTTGGTGTCTCCTGTTTGTAGGTGCCCATATTTACATCGCACTGCTGGTGACACAGAACGTCGCTATCACTTGAGATACTATAAAACATGTATGTGTGTTCATGATACAGATACAAGGGGTTTCTGTGTTAAAAATGGACCTCATTGTGCTTTTGCACATGGAAATCATGATTTGAGGCCACCTGTTTATGATATAAAAGAACTGCAGGTATGCAATTTGAGAAACAATTTGTATAAGTTACATAATTTTCTTTTTGAAATGTGTACGTGTAATTCGAGGATAAACCTAATGTAATTCGACTATATGTGGAAGTGTTTGAATTTATGAAAGGTAATTCATTCTTATATTTAGTCTTGTGTGTCCATTTTATTTATTTATTTTTTTTAATGGGGGGAAAAATTCGTTAATTTTGTTGTTATTTGATATTTGTGATACACTGAAGGTTTGCTACAGTATCTAGTGGAAAGCCTACCAATTTCTTGCATTTAAGAATTGTTTGTGTCGGGTAGAGTGTTAGAATACTGTTACAATGTTACAACAAATTGAAATAAAATATTAAATAAATTATTTTTTATTGTTTAATAAGACAAGTAAATGTTGATAATTGATGACAGATGAATGATAACAGATGATAATTCGACAGCAAAAATTCAGAAATTTGTTCATATAGAATTTTGAAGCTGCAATATATTTTCCTTCTAAAGGACCTTTTATAATCAAAATGTGCATAGAGTTTGCTGATTCCTCCTTTATATTCAGTATGTTGCAGTTTCCTTTTAGACATGTGGAAAAGGGAGGGTTTTATGAATATATATTCTCTTATTCATATTATTATTTACAATTAGGCATTAGGGCAAAATTACCATTCACATTAATAGAAATCAAAGTTTTGTTAATATCTATCACATAATATTTGCAAAATTTATGAATAATTACTATTTTTGGATAAGACCCTAAATTAAAGGCACTTTGATTATTGAATGGTATCATTTTTTATTATAGTAATAGCATAAATACTTTTCGGATTGTTCAAATTGGTGATTGTACTAACTGGGATTCGATAAATTTTAAAAATTTACCTGCCTATATGATCAGTCTCTTGGTTTGTGCTCATTTGCTTTTACCAAGAAGCTTCTCAGACCAATGCTTCAAGTTCCTCCTCCAGCCTGTTCCATTAGTTATGCAGTATCCCTGGTAGTTAGTCTTCCAGGTTTTTCTGTTGGTGCCACTTCTTTCATAGTCTTCCAATGGCTCTATTTCTTGCTGGTTTATATTTCCATATTAGTTTTGGCAATCTGTTATTGTTCATTTAGACACATCACATCTCTATTGCTCTCATCAGTTCATTAGATCATCACTCCTGAACCTCAATGTGTAATTGAACAGCTCCTAAATTTAAATAAATAATAAGAATATAGGTAAGGAATGATTGGATTCATGTAACTTTTACTTGACATTTTTGAAACTGGAAGCTTGAGAAGAACCGTATTCTATGTGGTTTCTTTTGCTCTTTCACATAAAATATTTTTAAAAGTATCCAATATGGTGAAAGCTTGAAAATTGTACTATTGAAACTCCTGTAGCTCTTCATAATTCGCTTATGTCTTCTAGGTGATTGTGATTTTAAGAATACTAAACAATTTTCAAATTTCATCTGAAGAAAATTAAATTAGAAAAAAAAAATTGTGGAGAAACAGGAATAAACCGCAGAATTTTCAGAGAAAGTGTACTCATTGAACTTTGTTTTTAATAAAACTATGATAGTGTTTAAAAATAAATTATTTTGTTGATTTTATTTTAATTCATTTTATTGCAGTTTGAGAGAAATCAAAATGTGTGATGTTTTTTTTAATTGCACATTAAATCTCGTGATGAGAAGTAATTTCTAGTAAACTCATCTTCTAGTTTCTATGAAGTTTTTTCTATTTGGTTCAATTGTGCCATAATCAATATATCAAATTGATAATAATTTGTCTGTGGACTTCTTTACACACGTTCTTTTTGGCAATATTCTTGTGACATAGTATGTTTGTTTTAGATGATTTTTGTAATGTCGCATTTTATGGTGGGAGTTTGAATATAAACAATTTTCTTTTGAAGGCATTAGAAAATCCAGATTCTGATCCAAATTCTGTAAGCAATGGGCCCAATGTGTTGGACAAGGAGAGAAATCTAATGAATGAAGATCCTAAATGGCAAGGTTAGTTTTACATGTGCATGTGCACCTTGTTGCCGAAATGAGTTAAAATTTGTCTACTAAACATTTATGAATTTCAGATACTGGTTATGTATTAGCAAATTATAAGACTGAACTCTGCAAGCGACCCCCACGACTATGTAGACAAGGCTATGCTTGCCCTCAGTATCATAATAGTAGAGATAAAAGAAGAAGTCCAAGAAAATTCAAATATAGGTAAGAAAATCATATGTTCCATGAAAGATTTTTAATTGATTCTGAAAATGAGAGGAATGTTTTTTAAATTAAAATCCCTCTTGTGTTAGTGTAAATGAGGGGAAACTATTTTGCTTGTATTATAAAATAAAGAACATTAACTGTGCAAGTTAATAATATTAACCTTTAATGAAAAATCCTTGGGCTTAGACCCACTAATTCAATGTAATTCTATTGTTTTCTTTCTTTTCAATTTCAATAATTTTTTTAACTATTCACAAAAAACAATCACATTAATGGATAGAATGAAACTAAAAAACTATCAAGTGTTTGTGCTTGCAAGATTCATTATTGCTAGCCAGCATAATTGCGAAATTGGAAATGTGCATACACATATATATATATATATATATATATATATATATATATATATATATATATATATATATATATATATAGTCGTGCATTAATGGTAATGTGTAGGTAATATGCAGAACATTTCTAAAATGTATGTAATCTACAACACAACCAACGTCATGGAAATTAATTCCATCCTGCCAAATGACATATTCCCTCACTGCCACAAATTCCAACACTAGGCAGCTTGAAAAAATGCTGTCAGCCCGAAGTTGTAATCAAAGAAGTCTCCCTTGACGTGAAGGTAACGGAATGTGCATCTTGCTGATGGTCTTATGCCATTAGTAAGATTAGTACCTCATTTCACGGTGGAAACAACGGTTGTGCCCTGCGTGGGCCACAACAGGTGAAGACGATGCACAATTGGTTTCTCTGGTTGCAATCTTGGTATTACTTGATATTATGCTGGATAAAGCATGTTAAGTTGTATGTAGGTGACAGGAAGCACACAACTGCCACAGGCTGGCAAATCCGCCTTGCTGTGCAGAAAAACTGTTTCATTAACAGCTTGCGCCATCGGGTGGGACGGTGCGGACGTTGGGACATTGCGGAGTGGGACGGTGTTCCAACAGTAGAGGAGGCATTGAAGGGGTCAAGACTACATTACAATGACAATGGTCAATGCTGAACCGAGTATGGAGAGAGCATGGACCCTGGAGTAGGATCTAGAGAAATAACAATGGAAAAAGTATGAAGCAAACAATTAAAAATAATTGAATTTTTAAGGAAAAATAAAAATATTAAAATTTTTAGTTTATGCTGTTAATATATTTTGCTGAAATATTAATAAAATCAGTTGTTCAGGAGAAATTCTATTTAATTTTGATACCATCGGATACAGTGAATGAAAAATGTTGGTTCACAAAAGTTAACTAATACTGGAAACAACTATTCAGTCTATTGTACATTCTCTTCCAATTCCCATTTTTGATGTTTTTCTACTAATTTTCTAAACTTATAAGTTTCATCATCTTCATATTCAGCCATTATCACCTGGTCGTCTGCAAATACTGTTTCGTTAAACACTGTTTGTTACCCATTTTCACTCCCATGCTTCTACACTTTCTTTTCCATTCTTTGAGGGCTTTATCAATGTATTTCTTAAACAGGTTTGGAGACATACAGCAGCCTTGCTATAATCCTTTTTTGACTGGGAAGTCAACAGATAAACATTTTCCTTCTATTACCCGACTCTGTTATCTTAATAATGTTGTTTGGCTGCATTTATGTATGTTTTTGATATTCCTTTTTCTTCCATTGCCTCTCATACTTCTTTTTCTGGTACATTATCATAAACCTTTTTGAGATATGTGAAATTATGTGAAGTTCTCTTCCTTGCTCAATTGTTCTTCTATCAGTTCTTTGAGACAGAAATATTGTCAATTCAGGATCTTCCTGGCCTAAAACTACTTTGTTCTTCTGAGTCTGACATTTGCATTTCGATTATATTCTTTATTACTCATCTATAAAGTCTAACCAAAGATGAAGTCACGCTTAGACAAACAGGATGTATAAAATAAAAATGTAAGAGGAAAAATAGCCACAAGACAGTTGAACCCTGTGCTGTGGGACTTAAATTTCAATAAAATCAAAGAAATGCATATATAGTTCCTTCATAGAGAGTACATTACCCAATGGGGCAAAAGTCTGGACTCTAACAAAAAATATGAAAGACAAACTTTAAGCAACAGAAATGATGTTCTGGCAAATATGATGTAAGCTTTCTTTGTTAGATGATGAAATAAGAACTAAAATGAAAATGCAAATAACCTTGGACAAGACAATCAAAATGAAACAACTAAAATGGTATGGACAAATGAGAAGGGTGAAATTGGATACTTTCTCAAAAAGTTTGGGAATGGATACCCAGTCAAAGTAGATACAGGGGAAGGTTGAGAAAAACATGGAACATAGCAATAGCTGAAGCCACAGAAAAAAGAAAAATGGAGGAAAAAGGGAGATGCATGGAAATTGGGATGCGGAAATCAGCCAAGGCTTAAAAAAAACAACTAAAAAGGTAGATTGAGGACAAAATGTAGTGTGATATTCATGTAACTTCTATCATAAATAACTATTAATTAGCCTAAATGCAAATAAGAAACCAATACAGATTAATTCGTCCAACCTTGGTCTTTACCCCTAAAAGTCTTATAGAGTAGTTTGTTCAGCCAGTTGATGTCCTTTTTTTAACTACACAGGTTTTAAAACTCCCTGGGTGTGTGTTTTGGTCTTTTTATGTTGTTTTTTTATTTTTTTTTAATTTGTGCCCTTGCACACTTTAAAATGTCAACAAGTTTTCTACCTGAAAATGCTTTTATTTTTGCTAGGATCATTTACCCCCTCTCATCTAGTGTCAGTCTTGAATTGTAACTCATTATCCTACTCTTGGGCCTTACTTTCTGTCCTTCCCAAACTGAACTCTCAATCAAACTAACTTCAAAATGCAATTCTCATTTATTCAGCAGGGCAGGAATTCAACATCCCATGTAGGAGTTGACAAAACACCTCTAAATCTGATTTGCGTACCAATGTTTCTGCAGGTCATTGACATTATTGTGTTTACTGATTTGTGGTTAGATTTACTTGGCCGGTCACATTTAAACACATGAGCTATTATGTTTTCAATGGAAGATACAAATATTTAAATACAGATAGTATGGGATTAGCTAGAGACTGAAGACTTGCTACATGTCTTTGGATCCTGTATTTTTTTTATTGTTATTTATTTATTTCTAGTCTCTTTACAGATGTTTGATCTTTCTCTATTGTACCAAATAACATAGCAAAGATGCAAACTTTGTTTCTACTGAAGGTCTACACCATGCCCGAATGTGAAACATGGAGATGAATGGGGTGAACCCAACAATTGTGACAGTGGTGACCAGTGTGCATATTGTCATACTAGGACAGAACAGCAGTTTCACCCAGAAATCTATAAATCAACAAAATGTAATGATATTCAAACAACTGGTTACTGTCCTCGTGGAGTCTTTTGTGCTTTTGCCCATGTTGAACGTAAGTTAGAAGATATTTCGGAGTAACTTTTATTGTAGTAGTTGTTGTTTTTTGGAAATTCTTGAAACATTAATTCTTTGAGACCATAGAATTTGGAAATGCCTGTTTGAAGATGCACTTGATTAGTGAAACCTTTAGTCAAACTTGAAATACCAACATTCTTAGAATACGATGCACTCTTTTTCAAAATTCATTGGATGTAGCCTTCAAATGATTTAAGGATCAATTTAAAAATTTATTGGAATACTTTTTTGTGTGTCATTTCTTGCACCCATTCACGACTAAATGTAGAAGAGCTTATTGTCCGATAAGCCAGTACCCAAGCAAATGCTGCCCATAGCAATAACATACAGCATCCAAGCAATAGTTATTGTAATTCTAACAAAACTTGGAGGGTGCCATTTGTGAAATGACATTTCTTTATTTTGAAATATAACTATTTATGTAAACTCTGGTCATCAAATTTCTGATGTGGTGTATTGACTTGATGCAAGTACATTTACCTGAAATCTGTATGGACTATATGCTTTCAATATATTATTTCCAGAGGAAATGAATCTTGCCAGAGACCTTGCAGCTCGTGTAGACTCTGGAATGAATCTGGCTGATATACTTTCAAATGCATTACCATCTGAGAAGAAGGAAAACAACTGTCAAGATTCTAAAAGAGAAGAGAAGAGTAGTGACTCCTCTGTAAGAAAGAATTTTTTGCATTATAAACTCTGGTAAGAAAAAAAAAAAATATTGCAGTGAATTTCTTTGTTGCAGAATGGTAGTGGAGAAGTTTCTGAATCAGCTTCAACTAGCAGCACTGGCTCAAATAGTTCTCATAGTAAAGCTCCTGGTTCTCAGCTAACTCATCATAAAAATAACAGTCTTCATAGTAGTGCGTTTGGAAGTCTTAGTAGCAATCACCAAGATGTTATGCATGCTGTAAGTATGGTGAGAAATCTACAAATCATAAATTGCTCCAACGCATTGTGCTCTTGATGAAACTACAATTCCCTTCATGTTTACGTTTTTTTATTTGTCGATGTTTTTAGTGTATTTGGTAATTATGTCCCATATCTTTAAGTGTTACGTTATGGTACGTTAATAAACATGAAAACTTTCACAAATATACTTATGATGAGATACCATTGTTTTGCTCTTTAGAGTATTATTAGGAAACAAATAATGGAAATTGATACTGATCCCATTCTGAACCCTCTGGAAAAAGCTCAAAAGAAACAAAGCATATATCTAGCTCATAGTATTAACAACTCTACACCGCTTGCATCAGCAGTATCTCCTCTTGCTATGCCGTTTTATCCCACTAGTGATACTGTTGAATCTGTTGTAGGTGAGTAAATATTTTCTGCAACTTGATAAAAAAAACTTTGTATGTGTGTGTGTTTTTTCTTCTCTTACATGATGTTGAATGTAATTGTTATTTCAGTTAGAAATACATATATTTCAATCATGATTGTCTATGTTGAATCTTCTGATAAAATGTGATTTGATTTGAAATTTGAAAACCGTACTTTGTAATGAACTGTAATAAAAATTAAGAATACAAATATGTAGTATATTAGAGCTACTCATGAACAAATCCATGTTATGATATTTAGTTTGCAAAGTTTAAATTACATGTTATATCTTACTTGAGGGATGATTTTCTGAGAAGAAGAAGGAGGAGGAGTGTTATATATAATGAGGAATAATCTCTTACGAAAAATGAAATGTTAATTATTGTTTTATAATTTTTTTTTAGGAAATGCATTAGATGACTTAACACTAGATGAACCACTTAATTTAGCTGCATCATTAGACAAAGATTTAGAAGCTGATTCTCCTGTTAGCAATTCTATTTCTGCAGGATTAGCAAGTTCAGGTAAATAAATTTCTGATGTGTGATCTTTAACTTCATTCTTGTTTTTTTGTTTGTCATTCATTACTTCAGTATTCAATGTCAAAGATCGAATATTATAGTAACATTCAAAAATAAATTTATAAAATTGTTTTAAAATTTTTGCAGGAATGCTAGGAAGTTCAGCTCCTGTAAACATACCTGGTAGTGCATTAAGTGAAAGAACTGGTTTAGGGAACTTTTCTCCATCAACATCTTCGCCTTTACAACAATTACAGTCTAGCTTTTTATCAACACGTTTTTCTCATCAAGATTCATTGGATTCTGTGAGTAAAAATGTTTTTAAATGGCCAATTATCGGCTACCTTTTTGAATATGTGTATTGTTAGCAACGTGGCCAATATATTGGGCAGACAATACAGGATACTTTAAATTACTTGAACTACACAACACCCTTGGAATTTTTACAGGTAACATTTGTGCAGTGAACATCATTTCACGACATAAATGTTATATTTATTTACATTATATATATATATATATATATATATATATATATATATATATATATATATATATATAAAATATAATTATATATAAAAACTCGGCCCCTAGCAGGTATCATCTATTGATTCCATGCAATCTGTAGCTTTAACATCACCATAGTGATGCACTATGGGGACGTTCAAGCTCCCGATTGGAAAAAAGTGTCATCAGCTGATACCTGCCAGGGGCAGAGTCGCAAAAATCGCAGTATAGACCAAATTGCTCACAAAAAAAATGTTTTTGATTTTAATGTATGATGAATGTGTTCATACGTGTGTGTGTGTGTTTTTCTCTCTCTCCATGAAATATAATTTTGCCTTTCATTATTTCAGAGCTCTGCCTTTTTAAATCCACCACACATGCAGCTGAGTAGCAGTGCATCAAAAATTGGTAGTTTTTCATCAACAGCAAGCTTATTTGAATTTAATTCTCATCAAAATATGTCTCCCAGTAATCGTGGAAATCATAATTCTTCTCTAATAAACAATTTTTCTATAAGTTCATCAATAGGCACAAATTTAACTAGTGAGGTAAATACTTACGATATATGTGAATGTTTACAAGTATTTTATTATTATTATTATTATTATTATTATTATTATTATTATTTTTTTTT